CTGCCCCCGACCGCGCCTCCCGGCCTCGGTCTCGCCCTCGTGGACCGGCTGGTTGTCACGAGCGTCCAGCCCTCGGCAGATGCACGTGGCCCACAGAGGTGCCGGCTGCCCGCCTGTCCCCTGGGCACGAGCTCTGAGCCCCGGGGCGTGGACCGAAGTAGCCGCCACGGCCGCTTCCTCCGCGCCCACCCACCTGGCTCTCTTTTCTCTTACACGCTGCTCAGAGGATGCAGAAGGCGGCCAAAATCAAGAAAAAGGCGGTGTGTAGGGGGGCGGGGTCTCCTCGTGTGTCTGGGGTGCTCTTGGGCAGGGGTGGGGCAGGGGACTCCCCTAGGAGCACAGAGCGTGTGACAAATGGGTTTTCCTCTTCTCATGCTAGACTTTTGAACGAAACCACAGTCGCTTCTCATGTCTTACCCGCCCGCTTGCAGAAGAAGCGTTTATTCGTGACTCTTTTTGTATATTTTTTTAGAGCCTGTCTGGCCAGAACGCGCTAAAACGCTGCGATGTTACTGTTTACATCGATGTTTTTAAATGTGACATTTGATGTGGCCACGAGACGCATTTAGTGCCTAGGCCTCCTGTGGAGAATTAATTAAGTTGTTCTGATATTTAAAGACTCATTAAGTTTAATTTACTAAGTCTGCTTGATGAGAGGTTCAGTTCGCCCATGAGATGCTTTCGCTGTTGAGAAGCTTCCGGAGCGGGGGCCGACTCTCAGACATTGGGGTGACCTTCAGTCCTTTGTGCGTAAACGTGGTCATTTACTGAATGCCGGACACTTGCTAACCGCCCTGCGATGCGGGAAATGTCAGATGCCCGATGCCGGAAGGCACTGGCTTGTGCCTCAAACAGCAAGGGGTCCGGCCGGCCCCGCCTGGAACACATTTTCTGGGGATGTGGACAGAGGGCCCGGTCTGGGCACTCCCTTCCCTCGCAGTGACACTCGTGTCCCTGTGACATTCGCTCCTGGCCCAGCAGCCCCTCCTGCGACGCTTCCAGCTGCGGGGGAGGGAAGCAGTGTGAGAAGGGAGCCCGGGGCCACGGACGCTGAGCCCGGGCCGAGTCCGGGGCGGTCGGCAGGCAGAAAGCGTCTCGGCGGGACCCAGTCTGCACGCCG